GACCCCCTATGAGCAAGCACTTTGGCGACAGTGGGAAGGAAAAACTCCCTTTTAACAGGAAGAAACCTCCAGCAGAACCAGGCTCAGGGAGGGGCGGCCTTCTGCTGCGACCAGTTGGGGTGAGAGAAGAAAGGGTAAATGCAGTGGCCTGGGTTTGAGTCGTACCTGAGGCCCCTCTCTGTGTCCTACAGCATTTTCCCAAAATGAGCTTTGGAAGCCAGACTTTCTTAAAAGTAGAATAGATATTAGCCTAATAAACATAACAACTCTGACTCAACCCTCAAGTAAAAGTTTTGTAAGTGTACAGAATAATCATTTTAGCGTGTATCTGTCCTTACCTGTGCAGCTGAGTGTGTCTGTGGCTGTGCAGAGGAAACACCACAGACCGTCCTCGTCTGTGTCTGACCTTATCCAGCTGAAGGAAAGCTTCTCAGTAAAAACTCCCCTCTCTTAATTTAAAAGAGGAAATAAAAGACGAGAAGGTGGGGCGAAGCAGGAAGAAGACATAGAGAAGGCAGCTCGCCCGGCTTTGAGACTTGTCTTAGGGTTTAGAGTGACAGGTGGATCATGTGCTGAGCTGTGCTTTGTGGTTGGCGGATCAGTTGTGATGTCACCTGCTGGCTGCACTTCAAATAAGCCATGGATGCTGATAATCTCTCAGTTGTTCTCTCGGGAGATCCAATCACTGGTTACTCTGCAACTCAGTCATCATGAAAAAGAACCAGGTCCAACTCTTCTCCGCCCGTACCTTGATACACATATTCCCATCTGATATTAAAACACAGAGTAAATTTTGTAGCACAATAGGAAGGTTTTAGGGATACTTGTTGAGGCATAAGGTTCTTGTGGTTGATAGAGTAGCTGGACAACTTGATGGAAGATTGGTTATGCATACTGCACATCATTCCCTTGCTCTTTCCCCCCAAATATCCTGTCTAATTCTGGACATATCAACAATTAATACATTAAAAAAACAATGGTTTGTAGTCATAATAGTGGGTAGCAAAATACTCTTGGATCCCCAGAGAATGAATCCCAATGACTTTGATTAGATGATTTGAGTTTTGAGCAAAGTGTCCCGGCCATCGGGATGGATATCAGTAACTTTACCTTATCGTCACCACCAGATAAAAATGTCATTCAAAAAGACACAACAACCTAATTTAACCTTATAAAATTGAGAAACGGAGCAGGTGTGCTGGTCCTCTGTCAAGGATGGGAGCTCAAAGGTTAAACCTTTACACGGCAGAGATCAGGTCACTGAAACCAATCCTATTAGGCCAACACACACAGACACATGCATACTGTACATAAACAGCTTGAAGTGAGCATCTGAAAAAGATTACACTCAAAAATAATGATTTTTTTTTTAAATAAGAAGACTACATAAATATTCAATGATTTCTAAATTACAAGTGAATGTCACCCACCACTCAACTTGCAATTTCTGGTTATGAAAGAATAACCTTTACAAAGGAAAACAGGCTAGTTTAAATCTTGTGTGTGTGCGTGTTAATGTATAAACACTGCCACTTACATTTTCCCACCCACTCACTGGTTTTTGTTTTCTGTTGTTATGTTGGGCTCCACAGACTTCCTCTCAGGGTTGTTGATGTGGATGACCGTCCGGCTGGGGGACGTAGCGAGACAACGCTAATCCTCCAGTTAAATTAGCTGAACTACATCTGCCCTGCAAAGGATTAACCTGAGAAACACAGAGAGGTTAACCCTCTGTGTTTACACCAGGTGTTTCTCTCCAGCTCAGTGTACGTTCACATCACAAACCAAAATAAATCATTTGCGTTTTAGTG